ACTGAGCCATTCCAATTTAAAAACGTACCAGAAAGGCACGTTCAACTCTGGCAGTCAAAATTTGAGGGCTTGACTCAGCTAAGTTTAAAGTCATGGCATCTATTATAATTCTTCGTTTTGCAGTCAAGATCTGTTTATGTCAAAGATTTCTTCGCTTGGCAAGGAATAAAGCGTCAAAAACGAAGGGCAGAAGGTCTTTCTTAAGTCTCAGGATGCCTCAAAATCAGTCTCTGAAAGACCATCAGAATATTTAATTTTGAAAAGTCTCCCTATAACCAGCTGCTTCTTGGACAAACCAAGGTTTAGTAAGCACTAGCACACACAGAATCCGTGACCCCATTAAATGATCCTTTCAGTGAGAAACAGAGCAGACAGCAGCGTCATCAGACTCTGGTGGATACAACAGCTGGGTCCGGCTGTGCAGAATAATGTGATGATAACCAGGAAGGCTTCGACTCTCTCACCTCCTAAGAAACAGAAAAATTACAAAAGCGCCACAGCAGACAGTGCAGTCTAGACAAGCCCCAGAAGCCAAGGTTCATTCAACAGCCTCCTTTGCAAGGAGGAGGCTAGAAAGCAACCCTGCGTGCTGATGTGGCCCCAGGAGCGACAGACGCTTAACTACCCTCTTGCCAGATTTCGCGAAAGAGAAAAAAAGCTCCACAAGCTAGCGGCCCGTAGTGCGTAAGCGAGCCCGCTAAGGAGGCCGGGAATTGTAGTTAATTGGTTATTTCTGTTGCACCTAATTCACCTTTTATCATTCAAGCAAACACACACTTTGGAATACTACAAAAGTTACTCTTCTGCTCAACTTTTGCAAAAGACCTTCTCCCATCGTGTTGACAAAAGGGAAGCGCACAAAGTGCTTGAGGAATTCAGGACTACAAGTCCCAGCATGCTCTGCAAGGAGCCCGGGCACCAGGCCACCGTCCTAGGAACGGGCCGCTTGAATGAAGCGTCGGGCGTAAGCGAAAGTCTGGCACCGTCTGCGCGTCCAGTACCTGCACACGGTGCGTGAGTGCGGGGAGTGGGTCGTGCGCGTGCGCGCTTGAAGGGGCCGCGAGGCAACGCGCTCTGGGCCGAGCGGTTGCGGACGCGTGGCTACTGTGCTCGAGCAGCGGCGCCGCTCGACGGACGCGCCGGTAGTTGCGGGGCCTCCCGCCTCGCCCCGGCCTGCGGGCAGCCGTGGCGGCTGCCGGGGACCGCAAAGGACGGAAGAAAGCAGGAGGCAGAGGGACCCGGCCCTGGCCCGCAGAAGGACAGCCGACTATGCCCCGAGACAACATGGCTTCCCTGATTCAACGGATCGCCCGCCAGGCTTGCCTCACCTTCCGGGGTAGCGGGGGCGGCCGCAGCGCTTCCGATCGGGGCGCGGCGCCAGGCCAGGAGGCGCCGCCGGGCTTCCCGGAGAACTTTAGCAAACTGAAGAGCCTGCTGACCCAGGTCCGTGCCGAGGACCTGAACATCGCCCCGCGCAAGGCCACGCGGAAGCCACTGCCGCCCAACCTGCCGCCCGTCACCTACATGCACATCTACGAGACGGACGGCTTCAGCCTCGGCGTGTTCCTGCTCAAGAGCGGCACGTCCATCCCGCTGCACGACCACCCGGGCATGCACGGCATGCTTAAGGTGCTCTACGGCACGGTGCGCATCAGCTGCATGGACAAGCTGGAGGCGGGCGGCGGGCAGCGGCCGCGGGCCCCGCCGCCCGAGCAGCAGTTCGAGCCGCCGCTGCAGCCCCGGGAGCGGGACGCCGTGCGGCCGGGCGTATTGCGCTCCCGGGCCGAGTACACCGAAGCCAGCGGCCCCTGCGTCCTCACGCCGTATCGGGACAACCTGCACCAGATCGACGCAGTGGACGGGCCAGCCGCCTTCCTGGACATCCTGGCCCCACCCTACAACCCCGACGACGGCCGGGACTGCCACTATTACCGGGTGCTGGAGCCCATCAGGCCCAAGGAGGCCGCCTCGGCTTCCGACCTTCCCCGAGAGGTATGGCTCTTGGAGACCCCGCAGGCTGATGACTTCTGGTGCGAGGGGGAGCCCTATCCAGGCCCCAAAGTCTTCCCTTGAAGCCGCTGGCGCACGGCCGCCGTGGCCCGAACACAAGCCCCTGTCTCGATGTGCGCCTGGCCGCCCGCGACCCAGCACAAGGGCTCTCTCCCGACCTCCCCGCTTTGGCGTTGGATCTACTGGAATGGGCAATAGCCGCTTCCTCGGGAGACGTGGGATTCGCGGGCATTTGGACTACAGCCACGGGGCACCGTGATGGGGGTGGGTAGGTGGGAAGGCTAGGTGGTTTCCTGCCTCTGTCACTGCCACCAAGTTTTGATTTGGGGAAAGGGGGTGGGGCACGGCACTATCTGAAGCGCTTCCAACCTAAAGCCATAATGAAAATATCCTTCCTCTGTACTTCACCCAAATACAAATTAAATTACACTAAATAGCCCCCACTTGGGTAAATAGGTTTTATTTTCCATTTAGGCCCTTTCCCCCTTATCTTTATTGTTGGGTTTTTAATTTATTATTGGTTGTACATGAGCCAGTGTCTTGAAGTGCTTCAAGTTTCAAGTCATTGGTGAAAATCTAGGTTTAATGAGCGATGAGCTCCATTTTATAAAGTGAGCCATAACTATGCATGTAGATGACACGATTTCTTCCCTCACTCAGTCGCCACCTGTGGTGTACTCTAGCATCATCTAAGAAATCCCCACCTGAATATCTCTGACAGATGGGTAACTTGGAACTTCTCCGTCCCATCAGCCTCCAGATCGATGACTTTAGCAGATTGGTTTCAGATTCACAGACTGTATTCTCCTCAAATGACTTTCCCCTGTAAGTACTTTTAAGAGGCTATAGGGTAATCCTGTGTTTTCTAACCAGAAGATCCTGAGATCCTGAATCAGTTATGCTTCCAAATAACTGAATGTACACCACCTCTTACCAGCTTTTGAATTTGATATCACTGTTGTTTACTTCCAGTATTTCGTGTAAAGGTAGGGGAAAAAAAAGGGTGAGGAGTCCTTCACATTCTTTGAGGAATTCTAATGTTTAGAGGGCCAGGATTTCAGCTATATTGTCAGCTGGCAATGTCAGCTGAGATCCACCCACAACCTGAGAGTAGTTTTCCATAGGAAGACAGAAAAAGGTACATGGGATCCAAGCAAGAGGCACCAACACTGGGAGGAAACACTTCCCACTTCCTACCCTTGAAATTAGCAATTGTGCTATCTGTGACTACTATAATTTTTCTTTTAATCGGCTGGGCAGCTTTACCATGTTTACAAATGCACTAATACCATTTGCTTCAGACCACGAAGCACTATCGTTTCCCCTTTTTACTATACATAGGATTTCTTTTTCACAAAACTTTTAATAAAAACAAATTGTAGAAATAAACACATTAAATTTGCCCAGCTTTTGTCTAAGTCCTCTTGATTAACCTGCCCAAGTGGCAGCAGAATTAAACTATCCACAGTGAAGAGAGACTGCTATTGGCGGCAAGTATTTGTTGGCCCTGTCCCTTTAGGCAACAGTGCCTGCCTTTGGGTCTCTGCACACTGGGTTAGAGAGGCTCAGGGTGAAGAAATAGTTCCCAGTTTTTACAGTGGTACGAGTAACTTGACTGACACATTTTTTAACAAAAAGATAATGTTTATTTAATATGACGTTCAATGTCATGCAAAATCTGACCCGACACAGGTAGAATATGTGCCTACCGCCAAGCGTTCTTCTAAGGTTGTTAAAATTGATGTAGCTTTATATTCTGGTGTGGACTTTAATATGCTTTGGGGGCAGTTTGAAGCAGTTCTTCCTGCCACTCAGTTTGAAAAGAAAGTCTAGATATGCAGATGGTAATTAGAAAAATATTCCCAAAATAGGCATTTTTTAAATGTCTGTTGTAAGAAAAATTATTAACAAGGGTTGTTGATACTAATATAAATGTTCTACAACCTGGAGTATATTAAACCTGCAAAAAATCATTGTAAGAGTGAAACACTGATGAAGAACTGTTTCAAATTTCATTATACAAAAGTTTCCTTGTTCACATTACATGCAATTTGTATGGGAAAACTAAGGTGCTTTTCAAAATAACTGAAATTGTTTCAGGCTGAAAACAGCAATATTGTTTCAAATTGGTTCACTGATAAATCCTGAATAAACCAGTGGGGAAATTCAAATGAGACTGTTAGTGGGCCACTGATGGAAAGAATATTCTCATTACAGAGACAAAATGTGGTGCAGAGAACCTTGCACCTCTATGCATAAACTTCTAGTCAAGACCTACTTCCTGTGCTGCTATTGTGTTTCCATGTATTCCTGCAATACTGACTGGAGTTTTGGTAACAACAATGGGATAAAACTTACCTTCTTTTAGGAGAGACTAATGAGCACAATGACAGCAATTATTTAACTTTTCTGTTGAGTAACAAATGCAATAATGGCCTCTTGTGGGTGAAAAATTGTCTAAATACTTATCAAGCTTTATAAATTTTGTAGTTCTATTAATGACCAGCTATGTCACTAGAGGGACAGTAGTGTATGCCCACCTGCCTACCTACCATAGAAGAGGTAATTTGTATTAAACCTGAGTTTGCATGGATCGCATTTACACCAGCTGCTGTGTTATTAATGAAAACTGTGGCCTGTTTTTAAGTAATGATGTATTTTTGCCTACAGGAGTGCATTCTCTGAACTTAGAGCACGACTAGTCCTTCACTTCTCCCAGAATGCACACCTTCTCTCCCCCTTTGCATCCTTCCCTCAGTATTGTCATCTCGGAAGGACTCTTATCAGTCTTTCTATTCTAGATCATTCTGAATCTTGGGCTATATAGTTCAACTACCCAGAGAAGAAGCAATATATTTTTAATCCAGGGCTCTGTGCATGGCCGTTCAACTCTAACCTGAGAGTAGGGCCATTCCTGTAAATGCTGACTGATGTGCTTCAAGACTAGGTTTTGTGCAGAAGCCAGCCACTGATCACTCCCAGGGCCATCAGGCATCCACTGTCAAAGAAGGAAACATTTTTAAGTCTCATATGGATACTTAACTTTTCAAACCTAAAAATGTTTCCAGTTCTTGACTTAAAATCATTCACTGGACTTTTGGGAAATAAAGACATGTTTGAAATCGTTTAAACATAGATCATATTTGATTACTGTAAATTGGTAAAGGAAAAGTAGTATTTACCAAGATGTCTGCATTTTGATTGTTACAGGTTCACTGTACTGTATAGGAGTATGTTGTACTGAAAAATGGTAGCCTACAGATTTCTGAAGTCCAAATAATACTAAAAGTAGTTTATTTTTTTGAGAATTAGCTTGGAGGCATTGAATGAAACATTGGAAACTTAACATGTAATCACACTAATTAATCTGCCATGACAGGGAGAAGTTCCCTTCCTTAACAAGAGGAATCAAATATTTCCATCCTAAAAGAATCTTAGGACCTAAGGGTTTTTTCCTTATCCTTTCTATAGAATTGTTTTAGTTGTTGATGTACTGTGAAGAATCTTAGGACGTAAATTTTCTTCTAATGATTCCGTAGAATTTTTAGTTTAATGTGACACACCACTATTTTGTAAAACCTGACACGGGCATAATATGTTCCCATAGTCAGAACTAGGAACATTTTAGGCACTAATTGTTAATCCTATTCCCCCCCCCCCTTTTAAAAACATACAAAAATGTGATTAAAACATCACTGCGGCCATTTTCAGTAAAAATACATACAGTAAAAATCTGCCTTTGATATCAGGCCACTGAAATTTTAAAAATTATTTTATGAACACTTAAAAACTTTATCTAGGTTTTAATATATCTTTTCAACATGCAGCTAACCATTTCTAAAGCATTATGAACCTTCAAGGAATTATTCTTTGGAAGTCTCTTTTTGCTGAAAAACTGCAAATAATAGGTTAAACAGTGATACTTAATAAAGCATACAGAGACTAGGAACACTATATACTATGTTGTGATTTTTTTAATTTTTTTTTTAACAGGGCTTAAATAAACTCAAAGGCAAATGTTTGAAGCACAGCAGAATGTGACTAAAGATAGTAACCTAACACTTTGCAGTCTAACGGTAAAATCCACAAGGTTGGCTGAGGTGGGAAGGTGTTTCTATAGGATGTTACTGTCTCCAAGCCCACTTCAGGGTGAAAGCAATTATGCAATTGATGGCATTCATCAAAACGTGTTTAATCTTAACTCATTGAACATGGCTGTTTTGGTCTACAACTTTATAAACAGTTGTTTAGATTATCTTGATTGGAGGTGCTCTGAAATAAAAACTTGGCATGAGAATTTATGTTATAACAATTTGGTACTATCATTTTTTTAATTTAATGGAACCTTAGGAGAGATGTTCATTAAAAATGTTAATTCATTAAAGTTAACTATGGAAATGTAGCTTTGTTTACACATACTTCTTTCTCTAAATGGAACAAACAAGTTTGATACTTTGCTTACAAACTGGGAAATGTAAGCAAATGGGAAAGCACTGGTCAGTAGAAAAAGCTACAGAAAGAGACATTCTGCATCACTGAAATATGGCCAGAGGGAAAAGAGAAGAAGCAAGTTAATTACCTGGACAGATTGGCTCTCAAATTCTAATGCTGCTAAGGACCAAGAGTGGCTGTCATTGTCTGCTGTCCTGATACAGGCCTTCAGTTACCAGTCGAGTTTAATAGTGGCAAAGGACAAATGAGGTGTCAGGGTGATCTAGCTAATTAGTGGACAGTGCAGTATGTTATCCAGTATGAGAAAGGGGCTGTAAATGGATTTAATAAAGGCAAGATCTTACAGTAAAAAATAATAGCACAAAAATGCTTTGTATGAAATGTGGATGAACAGTATTTTTAGTATTTGTAATTTTTAAATCACACACTGTACAGTTGGAACTGATCCTGCATTGCAGTTCCAAGGCTTTAAATCATACAGCAGAAGATTGCCCATTTTCCCAAGAGCCACTAGTGGACTCAAACAGCCAGAGAGGAGGCTTAGCCTCTGAGTTAGCAACCCCACGCCCTACAGTCCCTGCCACCAGGGTTACCTGTCTAGTGTGATGGGGACCACTTCTCCCTATTTACCAAAGATTTTTTTTTCCGTGTCTAACATGTCAGGCGGTTAACCAAAAGGTCAGTTGCTCTGGGTGGGGGGCAGAGATGGGCAGTCTCCTCCTGTGAAGACCTGTGAGCCAGAATCCGCTCACAGTAGTAGGTAATGGAGTATACATCTATCACATGTAACACACTGGATGTGTGATTATAGACCCACCAAACCTATGGCATTCATGATCTTTCAGATAGAATTGACAATTTAGGGAGTGAAGCCTGGAGAGAAATGAGTCCTGGGGTAATTCTTTTGGCAACCCATTACTGCTGCCGTCAGCAGAGCCGAAGAGCATTTTTGATCAGAAAAGGAGATAGTGCTTTTCAAAAAGTTTTCTGTGGTCATGAGATTAATCCTGGAACCCAAAAGTCATTTCCAGTTTGGCCACGCCACCACACTTTCCACAAAGCCACATCTTTGCGTTCCAGGCCTGGTCAGGTTTCTGAAAGTCACAAATGTGTAGTCTCCGAGTGGGCACTTGTTTGTAAGTATTTATTTTCCGGAGCCCACTCAGGAACGGAGAAAGGCTATAGGCTGTTTTAGAGGACGGAACAATGAGTCAAAACACCGCCTCCCCATTTTTACACCAAAGTCTAAGGGAAATCCCCAAACACTAGCATTTGCTATGAATGAAGATTGCTTTGCGGTTGGAAGGCTGATGGTGACAGGCTCATCCGAAGGTCCTGCCTGGTCTGGCCCAAAGCCTTCACCTGCTGGTGTTTAGAGCTATCTGACCCTACCAGCCATTGGATGGCAAGCGAATTCCCACCCAGCCTCCACTCAACACCCACAAGTCTTTCAGAAACAACTTTTGTGCCAAAGTATTGTTGAAAAGTATTTATTTACACTATAGTCATAAACCATCCATTATCTGAAATTCAATTAGTGGTTCTGCATTAGAATAGATTATTTTGTATTTCCACAACTATTACGAGCTAATAACCAAACAAGTCAGCTCTGGTAACATTATTTACATTCTTAATCTGAAATCTGACTACAAAGATAACACTTTTAAGTCACAAAACAGAGCATATAAAAATATACTTTCTAAAAAAATTCCAAATATTAATAGGCAGAAATATACAGCCGTACTAAACCGAGGGCATGATTTTTTTTCTCCTTCTCCATAGTAAGGCAACCCTTTAACATGCAGACACTGTAACATTGTCTACATCACACAAGGCACCAAGGACACTTCCAACACAATTGCATGCATCCTAATTTCAGAGAATATATGTACATCCCCTTTTAAATAAGTTAACCTCTGTCTCATTTCAAGAAATCATAAATGCTTCCCCCATACACAAAAGTTCAGAACTTGCAGAACAGTGCACATCAAAAATACACAAAATCTGAGTAGATCTACACTGGAAAAATAAGTCTTTGTATTTCTCAACTCAGTAAAGGAGTAGATAATTGCCATGTCCCTCCCATCACATTGCACGTCTGTTCTCTGAGTTGAGAATACATATTGCTTAAAGGGTTGAGAGGACTAGATTAGGTCTGCTTCACTGTTCTAGGGTCACAGAATGTGCCACAAAGGCCACGCTTCACTCACTGTACAGCGTCCCCAGACCAGCCTCCAGCCATAAAGTGCACATGAGCTTCGCTGCTTTCTGCTGGTCCCTTCTTGCGGGAAACAGCATCTCCCAACCTACTGTAGAAAAAGTCCCAGAACAACTCTGACATCCAGAGTTAAAGACCTGTGATGGGTCCAAGCCCAACCTAGTCCACCCACCCTTTATATCAGGGTCAGACCTCAGCCCCTAGGTGACACAACTCTGGCCAGCCCCTTTCTGAACCTCTCCTTCTCCTTGGGTGACAGTCAACTCATTACAAGGGACTAGAGGGGGCTGAGTTTTAGTAAGGACCTGCTTTCAAGTGGAGAGCAGGGCAGTACTGGGCCCCACCAAGGCCTTTTGCCCACTGAAGGGAGGGACAGGGCAAGAAAGGGTGGTAGTGTTTGTTGTGCAGCTCGCGTGGATGAAGGACCTCTGTGGCCTCAAGGAGCTGGAATGTCAACTTGAGTCTTGTCTCAAGGTGTCCTGGTCCGAGAGGAGCAAGGGGCGAGTGGCCCCCCACCAATAGTGCTGCTGTTGCTGCCACACAGGGTGCCTCCAGCCGGTGTGCCCCCCGCACAGGCAGCCGTGGAGGTGGTCTGCACGGAGGACGAAGGTGCACTGCCCTTCCGCTCCTTCTGCCGCAAGTGGATCTTAGTGTGGCGCTTCCTCTCATCACTCCGGGCAAACTTGCGGCCGCAGTAGTCACAGGCGAAGGGCTTTTCCCCGGTGTGAGTGCGGATATGAGTGGTGAGGTGGTCACTACGGCTAAAGTTGCGCATGCAAATCCGACACTGGAAGGGCTTGTGGCCTGTGTGGATCCGGATGTGTCTTGTCAGCTCATCTGAGCGGGAGAAGCGCCTGTCACATCCTTCTGCAGGGCATGGGTAGGGCCTCTCGTGTACTGGGGTCTTGCTGGGCCTGTTTGGGTACTTGCGAGGCCTCAGAATGGGCCGCAGGGGCAGGTGGTGTGGGTTATAGGCAGCGGCGGCGGCGGCAGCAGCAGCAGCTGAACTGGTGCCCGGCAGCCTGGGTCCCTCGCTGCCTCCACTGCCTCCTGGCCCTGGGGCCCCTGCATTGGGACCTCCTAGGGTAAAGTTGCGTATGGTAGAGAGTGGAGTGAGTGGAGGAGGGACTCGCAGAGAGTCCAGAGGGCAGGGAAAGGGCTTGCGGTCTGGGCCAGCTGCACCATGCAGGTCTCTCTGGCACTGAGACGGGAAAAATCCAGGGTAGTCTGGTATCATGGGAAAGAGACCTGGGTCCGTGGCTGGCTTGGGGGATGGGTAGGAAGGTGGTGGTGGGTAGGCCAGAGAGGAGGAGGCAGAGGTGGTGGCTGCAGACAGGAAGGCCGAGGGATCCTGGTAGAGGTCTCCAGCACAGCCTGAGTAAGGGGGCGGCGGTGGCGGAGGAGAGTAGAGGTGGTCCAGGTCAGACTGGGTCTGAGACATGGTGCACACGCCCAGGGGTCCTGTGGCCAGTGGGTTGGGGGAAGCAGAGGTGACGCTTGACGAGGCTGTGGTCGAAGCTGGGGAGGTGACCCCTTGCAGGATGCCCGCGCTCACAATATTGATGATGCCCTCTGGGTAACAGCTGGCACCAGGGTACTGGGGGTCAATGGAAAACTTGCCCATGTAAGTGAAGGTCTGGTTTCTAGGTGCTGAGACAGGAGCGAAGCTGCTAGGGTAGGGGAGATCCAAGGACCTCTTCTCTCCCGTCATGTCAATGTTGATCATGCCATCTGAGGAGGGAAAGGGCAGAACGGAGGTGGAGCAGTGAGCATGCAGGCCAAGAATTTCCCTCTCAAACCCTTCCACAGGGGTCCACCCCAACCCTTCCACAGGGGTCCAACCCAGCCCTTCCACAGGGGTCCACCCCAGCACTGAGATGTGACAAATCCAACAGGTGGGGATACTGAGGATCAGAAACAGGAAGAGACTAGTCCAGACCTGAAACTCAAGAACTACCTCAAAAAGTAGGATGAGTTCCCACACACCCCCTAAGCCATCTGTAGCTCTAGTCCCCAATAAAAACACCCAATAATAGTAACAGCATTATTAAAAATTCCCCATCTGCCTGAAACTTCAATCCCTCTCTTTTACTGGAAGGGCCAGGGGGTCCTGGCTGGGTGTCCAGGACAGACACCATCCAACACATAATCATTCCCAGTCAATGCCGAGAAGGTGCCAGACTGAGAGGGGAGCCCCGGAAGCTGATTCTCGGTTGTTCCCTGGCTTCAGTGGCTTCCCTCCCTTCCTCTCCCTTGGGTAGAGTCAGGGGCTACGGAGGCCAAAGTCTATAGGATTCCCTTTACTTCCAATCTTCTTAACCGCCTGTGCGTCCCCGCCCCAGCCAGAGGCCAGTGGAGAGGTTTCGAGGAAGGAACACAGGGGGCTGCGGGAGACGACTTTCCCCAGCATCGCCAAGGAAACCTGCAGCGCCTGTGCCCCCGCGGGCCTCCCTCAACATCCTGGGGGCCGCTTCCCGCGGTGGAGCGCCCTCCTCCACCTTCCAGGGTCGGAGCCCCCGCTTCCCTAACCCCCTCAAGTTTGCGAGTGGCGTGCGCAGGTGAGATGAGCTCCGAGAATTTCCCCCAGTCCGCTTTGCCAGAAGCGTAACAGCGGATGCTTGGCACTGGCGCTTCTCCATCGCTCGTCTCTCCAGACGCGCGGCTTTCTCCCCTAGTCCCGAACTTTCCCATCACTTTTGCCCCGACCCCTTAGAGGATGCCAGAGTGACACTAGCCAAAGGACTCTGCTTAAGTCCCAAGCCCAGCACTGGGCCTTTCCCACCCCTTCCCTGCGCACCGGACCGCTTGCTGACAACCGAGCGCATCTGCCCCTCGCACAGAGCTCCAGGAGTCTGGTCCCTGTTCCCGTGGGCTGTTTCTGCACGCCCTGTCAGCCTCTAAAGCCAGTTCTGTCAACTCTGCCCACCTAGCCCCCAACACTCTCCTCTGCATCCCGAACACCCACCGTACCCCACCCACTCGGTTCAGGGCTCGCAAAGACACGCACATGCGGCTTACCTCCAGCTACTCCGTTCATCTGGTCAAAGGGGCCCCCCAGTTCGGCATTGGGGAAGATGGTCACCGACGTGGCAGGGAGGTCCTCCACCGGGTAGATGTTGTCAGACAGCTGGTGCACAAAACCACTGAGAGTTACTGGGATTTTGTCTACGGTCTTGGCGGTCATCATTTGCTCCTCGCACAACCTGGAGACCCAACTCCCTCGCTACCTGGAGTGTCAGAGAAGCCGTTTTGGAGACGAGTTGGACTGAGCCTGGATAGGTATCTCCGTTTGCCCTCCACAATTAAAAGAAGCCGCCCAGAAAAAAAAAAATAAAATTAAATCCAACAGAAATAAAACTAGCAAACAAGTTGTTCTTTCAAAGGAAAAAAAAAAGGTTAAAAGATGGCTATTTGCCACAAACTTCTGTGTTCGGCTGTTGGGAAGCCAGGAGTTGCTGGTGTAGTGTATTGTAACAGTCACTGTATCCCCTCGCCGAGCTATTAATCAATTGCTGCTCTCTCAGTACGACGGAAAGTGTTGCTCTAAGTATTTATGGGCAGGTCTTGAATGCCCGTGACGTCGCTGCCCATATATGGACTGAGGAACAGGGCTGGGCTAGGCGGCTTTTGCCGTCACATGGCCGATTTGCATACGGGCTCGGCCGTGCAGGCTCCGGAGACTCTTGGCCTGCGCTGCACCCGAGCGCACGGGGCTCCAGGGCGCACGGCCCTAGCCACGCCCGGGGTCTGAGGCTTAGGGTCTGGCGAGGAGGGGGCGCGCCCCGGGTCCCACCCCAGCAGCTGCGAGAAAGCAAGGCGGCAGGAGCCGCGGCGCGGCCTCCTGGGGCGAGGAGGAATTCCGGTTCCCGGGACTTTCCAAAAAAGGCGAAGATCCGGTGCCGGCGGCTCCGCCTCTCCAACCCTTGTTTGGGAGCCATTCCGGAAAATTAAACTTCGGAAAGAAACCGAGCGGAGCCGAGACACTACAGTCAAACCCCTACTCACTTTCTTGGCAGCTCAAAACCGCAAGCAAAAGGAGACAGAAAAAAAAAAAAAGGCAGCATGCATTCACGGAAGCTGACTGCTTTTTTCTGAATTACTTGGTGGAAAGAAGTGACTGGTGATAAGAGTGAATGCGGTATTGCTTTTTTGGAAAGTCTGTTCTATTTATACAGGGACAAAAACGGAACAGGTTTGGGGTTGTTTGTTTATTTAGGTATTTTGGGCACCTTGGGGCTGAAGGTTAGGCCCTAGGAGGCGCAGAATGACTGCGGGGAGCTTCGAGAGAAATCCTCAGCCAGCGAACACCCCCTCCCAACCCCGTCCTCTGCCCGCGCGCTCCCCGCCTCCCTTCAGCTGCTGCTCGGAGCGGGCGCGCTTCCAGGCGTGTCTGGGCGGTCGACTGCGTGGGGGTGTCCAGATGGAGGCTTGGACATTTACCCTACCCCGACCACATACACACACACACGCGCGCGCGCGCGCGCTCCACTTCCGCACCACACACTCTCGCCCCCGCTGCCCCTTCACACACCCACTCGCACACCTTACGCTACACACCTCCCTGTTGACACTGCGCATCGGTGCGCCTGCCTCACAGCCGCCTCTCGGAGAGAGTCCCCAGGCGCCAGACGGAACATTTAGCACCCTGGCTCGTCAGATGCCCAGGGAAGGCACCAGTCCTTACCTTCACTCTCAATCCCGTCAGCCACGTCACCCCTTTCCCCAAAAGCCCACACTCCGGGGGTGCTCCCTGCCTGCACAGGAGCCCTATTCTAGAACACGCACACACTCTTGGAGGGAAATTTTCTCCTATGCCAGGAGCCACTTCGGGATCTGCACACAACCTCGAGAGCCAGTTTATACCCACCAGCACCCCGTCCGCGATTCCTTTTGGCGAGTAAAGAAACTAACCAGAGTGAAAACCTTTCTGTTTAGTCCACAAAGCAATTTTTAAAATAAGTTTTCCGAGAGATCCAAACAGCAGCGGATGCTAGTTCCCACCAGCAAGGCTCCCACATTTCCTGAACCCCAGCTCGCATGGCATGGGGGGCACTCCGGAGCCTGGCAAGGGGGTCCCCAGGAGGCCTCTCAGCCCCAGGCAGTATCTGGTAGAGTGTAAGGCCCCTGCCTGGCGGCCAACTGCTGGACCATTTCTCGTTCCAAGCCCGGGAAGGAGCGCGGGGGCCGCCCCGAGGCCCAGCCCTCTGCCGCCCCGAGACGCCCGTCTCGCTGGGGCCCAGGCGGCGGGCGGGCGCGGCGGCGCCACGCAGTGGAGGGAGCGCGGCGCTGCAGGCTCCTCTCCGCCGCTCACCTGCTACCGCGCACCCGCTGCCGCCGGGCCTGGAAGCCAGTGGTCAGGGCCTCGGGGCGGTCCGGCACGGCCTCCTCGTCCATCATCAAAACCCTGCCGCCATGAACCCTGCTTTCCTCGGCTGACCATTTCCCTAACTTAAGTATGTATCGCAAATTTGGGAAAGTTTCTCACTTGCGCTGCGGGCTCTTTCCTATTTGGGGGTGAAAATTAAAAGGCACGAAAACTCAGTAAAGTTAGCACCTTCATAGGGACCTCAACTTCCAACAAAACCGTGCAAAATCTGTCCCTCCCCCCCCAAAAAAGGGACGATAAGAAAGACTCCGTCTTACCACGTGCGCCAGCCCGCTCCGCCTGCGCTCCAGTCGGTCTTGCGGCCCCCGCGCTGACCATGGGCAAGACGACGCCTCGGAGGGCAGCCCGACTCGCATCTCCGGCCCTACATCCGAAAGAAAGAGAGGGATGCGGAATTATGCAAATGGAAGTCGCCACGGCGGGGCTCGGGTTACTGCCCCGCTGCCCCCCGAGGTGAGACACCCACCGGAGAATGCGCGCGCGGTGGCTGCTGGTGCTCCGTTCCTGTCTCCGCACGTGGGTGGGCGGACGGGCTCAAGGCCGCCTCTACTGCAGACCTGGCCGGCGGCCGCCCCGAGGGGTAGCTCCGAGATCCCCGCGCGAACAGGGCACCGAGGGCAGGATGAGCCCGCAGACCGCACGGTCTTGGGTTGCCACCGGCCCCAGAGGAGGGTGAGTGGCCTGCCGCTAGGGAAGGAGGGTACACCGAGGAGAGGGCGGGCTTACCCTGCCGGTCTTGAAACCAAGTAAATGGGAGTGACTGACCTTCAGGAAGTCGAGCTTTTTCCCACGACTCACGCCTCTCCGGAGAACCGCACAGCACCAAGCCCGTGCGGTGTAGTGGGGGTTGGGGTTGGGACGAGGGCACCTAGCTGTTGCCTGGAGCTGCGCGGACCCCCACGAAGGTGCCCAGAGCCAATCCTGGGATCATTACCTGAACCTCCGCTGGAAATGGGTCAGTAGACACTTTCTGTAACTTTTCAAATTTTTTTTCTAAAAAGGATTATCTCTTTATGTAAAAAATAAATTTTTAAAAACATTGCCTTGAAGTCGATTCTGACTCACAGGACCCTATAGGACAGAGTAAGACGCCCCCGTAGAGTTTCTTTATGGAAGCAACTGCGACATCTTTCTCCTCCTACCTTTTGATTAGCAGCCAGCTAGCTTCTTAATCACTGTGCCACCAGCCGCCTCTTTTTAGGTCCATACCCTTATGTCTGAATAGCCCCGATTGGAACAAAGTCTAGACGCTCTCATGTCAGGCCAGCCATGCTTTGGCTGAGAAGACAAATTCTAAAAGCCAAGGTGACTTGCATAATGTCACGCAGCTGATAAGTGGTGGTGTCCAACCTTGCAACATGATGATCTTCAAAACTGATGGTCACATTATGTGCGCAGGAAAACCCAGATCCATAAGCTCAACAGTTTCTGGAGCTCTTGGAGCCGGTTAGGGAAGAAATAGGTCGCGTTAGCCGGTTTAATATCTTTTCTTTAGCGTTTCCGGGTAGAAGACAGTTTAGGTCCTTGTGTTACGAAGGGCAAGGGTGGTCCTGGAAGCATCACTTCCAGGCTAAAGGGATTATTTTGAGTTCTTAAAACTAATAGACTCGAGTAAACAAGCTAGCAGCATCTGTGAGAAGCATCAAAGAGAAAAAAGAGGCAGAGACAAATACAAACTTCCAAAGTGTTTATAGAAGGAGATTGAGTTGGGGGAGGAGGAAGGAGAAACTGAAGAAGATGGCAGTCAGGGCAACAATGTGCCATGGTCCCTGCCTTCAAGGCACTTGATTCTCCTCTTTAGATTGATTGGTTGTTTTTTTTAAAAAATGCTTTTTTGATCAAGGGTGTCACAAATAAATGCCCTTTTCTTTAAAGTGGAGATATCAAAATGCCCAAGTGATTGAGACATGCCAGAATTGTTCCAGAATAATTAAAAGAGTAGTGAAGGGATACTCGGTTTCATTTTTGTCTTACTGACTCCCAGAAAGGTGCAGAAGATCTCTGCCAAGGCCATGGGGTGAGGAAGGGAGGCAGCTTGGAAACCCGGCCTGGCTGCAGAGTCCCCTCCCTGGTTCGCTTCTTTCCTCCTCCCCAGATTTGCAGCTCTTAGCCACAGTGTAGTGACAGGGCCACAACTAGCCTTGAAACAAGTCACTAATAGTCTGTTAACATGTGCATTTTGATTTATCTAAAACCATTCTGAGCATCATTATAGGTTACTTGTGCCATAATGCTATTTTCATGCACTTCCACGCTCAGATTTCTACTGGAGTGGAAAACAAAGGAGTGTTGGCATGAACTCTGCTTGTACACAGGGTACAGGTCCCACATGCACATGGCACAGGGCAGGGGCATCCTGCTGAAAATTAGGCCAACCCTGTCACCTAAGCAAGACTTTCTTAATAGATTCTTGCCCAGACAAGTGAAAATTTGTTCTCCACATTCAGCATCTCGCTATTTATGCCGTAACCTCAGGGATGACAAGTCAAACCCAGGTTGTGACAATCAAAGATGTTGTGAAGTTTCAGAAAAAAAAAAAAAAAACACAACAAACCAACATTGCCTTATACAAATCCAGAGTGCAACTGCAGAGAACATGTTTTACTCTGGGCAGGCGGCAATGAGACCATTAGGATATTATTTTGCAGAAGCAACAGCCCTAACCCAACCAAGATCCCTATACAGTGAACTAACTTTTTAATCGTGCTAAAAATGTATTGAGCATTGAGTATGACAGGCCCTGAAGATACCAAAGCTAGATCAAACCACACCAAGCCCATTGTCAAGGATTCTGACTCACAGCAACCTTATGTTGTGCACAGCAGAACTGCTCTATAGGATTTTCTTGCCTGTAATCATTTATAAAGCAGGTTCCCAGGGCTTTCTTCCATGGTGCTTCAGGGTGGGCTGGAACCTTCAACTTTTCTGTTA